GGATTGAACATTGAAGAGCCTGGGTTGGATGTTTGAGGCCCCCAAGGAAAGCCCTCTTGGTCGGCAGGGTGTTGGGCAACGGTCTCGGGATGGGATAATCCACCACCGCGGCCCATGGCACGTTGAGGCGTGGGAGAATGCCAAGGTCAGCCTGGTAGTGTTTGTCGACTTCTGATCAGGGGCCGGCCCTCCTTCTGCCAGCAGCCTCTTGCGGCTCTTGCGTGCACCGCCCTTCCTTTCCAAGGCCACTTCCCTCGTGCCCGCTCGAGGATCGTGCACTTCCCGCACGGCAGCTATATGCCTGACCCCCACTTCCGCGCGTGCCCACTCGAGGGCGGTGCACTTCCCGCACTGCAGCTGATGCCTGAACCCTCACTCGATGCGCGTCCGATCGAGGTTGTGTGCAGTTCCCGCATGGCTGCAAACTTCTGGACCCCTCATCCCACGTACACCCTGCGAAATGCTTACGAAATCGTGGGTTAAGAAATTCACAGCCTCAGGGTTCGAATAGAAGCCCAGAATGTCTATGAAAATCTTGGGACTTACATTGCAACATTAAGAATAATCGAGCCTCTGGCCGAAAACGTGAGCTTTCTGAAGCATCGCCTATAGCCTATAGGGTGTACCCGCTCGAGGCTCGCGCACTTCCCGCCCCGGCGCTGCTCCCAAGCGCTCCCGGGGCCCCCCAAGCCATCCTTCTTAAAAAAAATCTGTGGCTGTGCGCCCCGAGCTGCCAAGAGCGCAGGCGACCAGGCACACCAGGGTGGCCCGAGAGGCCTCGAGTACGCCCCAGAAGGGCCCCAAGAGGCCCGAAGATAGATCCAGGATGGCCCGAGCTGCCCCCCAAGAGGGCCCAAAGCAGCCACCAGAGGATCTCCGACAGGGTCCGAAGACGCCAAAGTCGTTGATTGCCCAAGGCCGTTGAATGATTTTAGCATTCTGACCTTTTCGGGATACCGTCAGTTCAAGACGGCCCAAGTAGACTCCACGATGGCCCAAGAGGCATCAAATACGGCCCAAGACGGCTTCCCGGCCTCAAAGGCCCTTCGACGGCCCCAGACGGCGCCAGGACGGTCTGACGACGGCCCCAGACACGTACCATAAGGCCAAGAGGGCCCCAAGCCTGCCCAAGAGGGCCCCAAGCCGGCGACAGCGGGCCCCAAGACGGCCCAAAAGGGCCACAAGGCACACCAACGACTGCTCACTGGAGGCAGAGACAGCCCCAAGACGGCCCAAACGAGTTTCATCATCATCATCATCATCATCATCATCATCATCATCATCATCATCATCATCATCATCATCATCATCATCATCATCATCATCATCACCACCACCACCACCATCATCATCATCATCATAATCATTATCAGCATCATCATCATCATCATCATCATCATCATCATCATCATCACCATCACCATCACCATAACCATCACCATCACCATCACCATCACCATCATCATCATCAGCATCAGCAGCAGCAGCATCAGCATCAGCATCAGCATCAGCATCATCACCAGCATCAGCATCAGCATCATCATCATCATCATCATCATCACAATCATCATCATCATCATCACCATCACCATCACCATCACCATCACCACCACCATCATCATCATCAGCATCTGCATCATCATCTGCATCATCATCATCATCATCATCATCATCATCATCATCACCAGCATCACCATTATCATCAGCATCATCATCATAATCATCATCATACTCATCATCAGCATCATCAGCATCATCATCATCATCATCGTCATAATCATCACCATCGTCGTCATCATCAGCAGCAGTATCGTTATCATCATCATTACCAGCATCATCAACATCATCACCATCATCATCACCATCAGCATCATCCTCTTGCAGCATCGTCAACATCATCAGCATCATCGTCATCATCATCATCATCATAATCGTCGTCGTCACCATGATCATCATCAACAACATCTCGGCCTCATGACGGCTCTGCCAAGCCTGCAGACACGAGCTGTCACACGTGGCGGCTTCACATGCCCGCTCGAACAATCGCCACCCAGAAAGCTGGCATGTCACGGTGGCGGGACTTGCCGCAGACTACTGGCTAATCGCCCCGCCTCGGGTCCTGGGGGCGTGAGGGGCGCGTGCTGTCGGGAGAGGCGTGTGGGTGGGGGGGGGGGATGAGGCTCGGCAGGGTGCGGGATAGCCAGAAGACAATTCTTCAAGAACATGAGACCCTCCGTCGGCCAAAACAGACAGAACATCCAAGAGAACCCTCCCCAGGATGCACAAGACCATCCAGCAAACCCGAAGAACACCAGGGTACCCTCCCCGAGTCGATCTCGATCTTACACCTCGGTCCGACTGTACCGGTAGGGGTGCGGGTGGTGGTGACGGTTTTGGGCGCGCGTTGAAAAGCGAGGGGGGGAGCGGTCCTGCGGGAGGTTCGTCGCCCCCCCCCCCCGATCATGTATCCCATGAAGGGGAGGCTGGCTCGGGGAGAGAACCGCCGTCGAGAAGAACTGGCGAACAATCGCTGCGAAATCGGCGATTTGCCCCCGCCAACGAGTCCGCACGCTCCCGGGCGGGGTGGGCGATCAGGAACCCTATCGGTGATGAATGGGCGATCAGGAGCCGATGCTCCCACCCTGAACATATAACGTTGCCCAATGGTTTTCGGGTCAGGAACTGGCTATTTGGCAGCCCTTCGGGACGATCTGAACGCTGTGGGCGAGGCGCAGTTGCTGGAAGGCATCCCGAGGGCGGCAAGCCGACGAGAACCAACGAAAACGTGCAAACTAGAACAAAACAACGGCATAACAGCGCTCCGCGCGGATTTCTTGGACCTGCGCTGGAGCCCCTCCCCGGCGCGCGGAGCGCGCCAGGAGCGGCGCCTGAGGCGCCGCTGAGGGGGGGGGGGCAGCGCGGATCCAAGAAATCCGCGCGGAGCGCCAGAAGTTCATGGTTCTGCCGATTTTTTCATCTCCGACGAACACCTCCAACCTCGCAGCCTTTCTTCGCAACCTGCGCCTAACCCCTAGCTAGCGTTAAGTCGGGCATGTCGCACTGCAGGGGGACTCGTCAGACATCGTCAAACCAATAGCCTGGGAACGCTGTTCGACTGTGTTCGATCCTTTTGGCGAGTGTTGTTTGCTATGTTTTATGATTCGTCCAGCATCCGCCTGTGGAAGGACACGCCCGACCTGAAGCTAGGCTTAAGTCGGGCCTGTCCCCCTGCAGGGGGATTTTCGACGACAAAAAAAGAAGACCCCCAAAATACACCACAAAGGTGGAAAAATACTCAAAACATAATCCCCAGGTTATTTTTTGAATTTTTCTATGCTTGGAATAGTTTTTGCGTTTCGTCGAAAATCCCCCTGTAGGGGGACACGCCCGACCTGAAGCTGGGCGCTGCCCCCGACGAGGCCTCCCACGGGCGCCGCCGCCCGCGGGGAGGCGCCCCCCCTCCCCCCCCCACGGCGCTGCCAGCGCTCTCCGCGCCGCCGCGGCCCAGGGACCGAGGACCGAGGGGAGGCTCGGGGGGAGCGAGGCTCGAGGCTGGAGGCTCGAGGCTGCTCGAGGAGAGGCTCGGGGAGAGGAGAGGCTCGCGGGGAGGAGAGGCTCGAGGGGAGGAGAGGCTCGAGGGGAGGAGAGGCTCGGGGTGGAGGCTCGAGGAGAGGAGAGGAGAGGAGAGGAGAGGAGAGGCGAGGAGAGGAGAGGAGAGGGGGCCGAGGATGCTCTCGAGGAGAGGCTCGGGGGCTCGGACCGCGGCACCTCGCCACCCGCGGTGGGGGGGGGGGCGGGCCGAGCCGCCCGAGCAACGGGCCGCCCCTCTGCGGCCGAGGGTCGCCCGTCGGGCCCTTTTGAGGCCGCGGCCCCCTGCTGGGCCGGGAGAGGCCCCCTTCAGGGGGGCCCCAGGTGTCCCTTCCCAGCAGTTTTCGCCGCCACCGTGCTGCGTGAGCTCCTCGCCGCTGAGCGAGCGGCCTTCCCCGCACGCGAGGAGGGAAGGCCTCCCCCTGTGTTGGGGCGGAAGGCGGCCCGTTTTGCGATGAGGCAGTGCTCTGTGTGAGGCAGTCCTTTCGCGCGGGTTGGCTTCTCAGTTCTCCAGGGCTCCATGGCCCATGGTTCGCCCCCCACTACGCGCCCTCCGACTGGCGGCCGTTCGGCACGATCGGGGCACCCCTGGAGCGCTCTCGGCAGGGCGCGGCGAGCTGGGAGGCATCCCGCAGGCGGCAGGCCGACGGGAACCAGTGACAGCGTGCGAACACCTTCAGCCCGGTAGCCATTCGCCACCACCCGAGCCGATCCTTCCCCAGTCGCCCCCCCACCTGAGCCTCTCCCTCCCCAGCGCTGCCAGCACAGGAGCATCCTTCCCCAGTCGCCCCCCCACCTGAGCCTCTCCCTCCCCAGCGCTGCCAGCAGAGGAGGAGGAGAAGGAGGAGGAAGAGGAGGAAGAAGAGGAGGAGGAGGAGGAGGAGGAAGAGGAGGAGGATAGGGAGCACACAAAGGACGTACGCACCCAGCTATGTACATGAACACGGCCCCTTGACCCGCGAGACCTGCCGCGCGATACGAGCATTCTCGCAGTGCGAACTCTCGAAACCAGCGTGGATTCATGTACATGTACGTCCTTCTTTCGCTCCTGAGAGGAGGAGGAAGAGGAGGAGGAGGAGGAGGAGGAGGAGGAGGAGGAGAACCCTGAAGAAAGGAAGGAGGAGGAGGAAGGAGGAGGAGGAGAGAGGAGGAGGAGCTGAAGAAAGAAGGATGAGGAGGAGGAGGAAGAGGATGAGGAGGAGGAGAATGAGGCGGACGAAAAAGTGTCCCCATCGCGCGACCTCCGCGGCCTGGCCGGGCGCCGGGCGCCGCGCGGGCCCTCACGCGGCGCAGCGCCCCCCGGGGGCCCCGGCGCGCAGCGCCTGCCGCCGCGCGCTCGGCCTCGGCCTCGGCCTCGGCCTCGGCCTGCACCGCCGCCCCCGCCCGCGCCGGGGCCGCCGCGCCTCCCGCGCCCCGCGCCGCCTCCGCCTCGGGCTCCCCCTGCGCCGCCGCGGGCGCCTCGGCCTGCCCCGCGGCCTGCTCCTCGGCTCCCCCCCGCCGCCCGGCCTCGGCCTCCTCCTCCTTCGCGGCCTTCTCCGCCGCCGCCTCCGCCCCGGCCCCGGCCCCTCTCCCGGCCCCGTCGTCCGCCTCCTGCTCGGCCGCCTCCTGCGGCACCCTCTCCACCGCCGCCCCGGAGCTCCTGCCAGGGAAGACGAGCGCGCGCGCGGCCGCGAGCGGCCCGGTCTTCGGCGCTCTGGCACAGGCCTTCTGCGCTTTGGCATCGGCCTCGCTCTTGGCCATATCCTCTGCCTCCTTCTGCTGTCTGGCCTCAGCTTCAGTCTTCTCGGCTTCCTCCGCCTCCTCCTTCGCCCTGGCCTCGGCCTCTCTCGTGGCCTGCTCTGCACCCTCGCGTTGCTGCTCCTCTGCCCTTTTCTTCGCCTGCTCCACTGTCTCCAGGCTTGCCAAGTAAGCGGCCACCTGGTGCTGCTCGGGAGACCACTCTTGATTCTCGGGGTACCCTGGCAACACCTCGGGCGACGACGAAAGTACTTACAATGGCGCAAACTCTGGCCTGGCCCATCCTGGGCCCAGCATCGGCATCTGTGGGAACGCCCAGAGAGGTACCCTCTCCAAGGGTGTGGCCTGACCAGAGTTCCGCGAAGGGAACCCAGCCATGGCGACGAGGGCCTCCAATCGGAGGCCCCACCCTGGGGAAAACGATGAAAAGGTATCGGTATGGGTGCCTGTCCGTCCTCTGGTATACCGTGCACATCCTCCCCTCCCAGCCCACGACGGCGCGTGCACCGATCTCGGGTGGGCCCGAGATGCGCCCAACCAGGGTCGGCCGACGTGTATTGAAAAGGGATTGACCGTCCTGGCATTTCTATGGGCCTACCACGCAATGTTCCTAGAACCCCAACAATGCTCCAAGAACAACAACAATGCTCTTAGGGCAAGAACCCGATATCTTAAACCAAGACGGTCCCAACGAGAGAGGTTCTGAGAACACTTCGCTGAAACACACACAGAAGGTTCTTAGAACATTCTTTGGTGGGCCTCTAGGCGAGCCGGGCGAAAGGGGGGGATAGCAAAAGGGGGGGGTGAGGATCAGCTCACGTAGCTGATCTTCCCGGCGCCTCGAGGCGCCCATGCATCGAGGAGTGGGCAGGCACCAGCTGCATGCAGCAGACTTCGTAACCCCCCCTTTCCCTATCACCCCTCCCAGACATCCGACGTCTCGATTTTTTTCGAGACACGGGCCCCCGACCTCCCGACCACTTCCCTGGGACCGGTTTTTCATCCCGAGTCGTTTTTTGACAGTCCCGACGCTCGGCGAGGGCCCCGAGAGGCTAAAAACTATGAAAAACCTCTGTCTCGATTTTTTCGAGACGCCCGATGTCCAGACTTTTCGTTCGGCCCGACTGTAGGCGAGCCAGGACGCTTTTGCCACTGCTCGAGCGCAGGGTGGCCGCCGCCCGAGCACCCGCTCGCGGTGCCGCCTCGCCACGAAGGCCAGCTCGTCCAGGAGCGCGCTCGCCTCCTCGGCGGCGCGCAGAGGGCTGGCCATCGTTCGGACGTCCATTCCCCGTGTTTCGTTTCGGTTTCGTGCGTGTTTGTTTTTTTCGCGGGATGATCCAGGACACAGTCGAGGCGTTGACCTAAGGAACCCTAAGTAAGGAACGAGGCCCCCATTTTTCCAGAAGTTGAACTTCGATTCCCGATCGAAGACATAAGGAAAACATGAGGCAAGCTGTGAAACACTTAAGGAACGCGGAGCCCCTCCCCAACGAAAAGGGTTCCTTCTTCAGGGCCCCGACTGTACTCCTTAAGAATCCCCGCCGAGAACAAAGTGCACACGTCCGAGCGATATCGAGAGGGTGGCAGGGGGGAGGGGGGCGGGCTTCTTAGTGAAGGAGGCCGCTTCTCAGAGGGCGCAGGCCTTACATCTGCAGATCAGGCCCGCGCCTCCTGAGAAGCAGGGGTGCTTCTAAGAAGCCCTCCCCCCTCCCCCCTCTCCCCCACCCCTCCTTTGCGCGCGGCTGGGTAGAAACCAGATTCAACATGATTTCTCCGAGGTCCGTGCTGGTTCCTTGGAAGGGCGTTGGGCCCTCCTGGTTGGCGCCTCCGGCGTCGCCCATGGCGCGCTCCGCGAGCCAGGGAAGGGGGGGCTCGGCGCTGATCGAAGACATATTTGCGGACCACCGAGAAACTATACTCATGCGAACTAGCCTCGAATCGATCCCTATCCCTGAGATCGAACCTCCAAAAGGCGACGACAAATATTCCGGCTGCAACGCGCAAGGCAAAAAAAACTTTACAGGTAAAAAAGATGTTGTTTGCCTGTGGCGTTTTTTCTTTTGCCTTGCGCGTCGGGTCCCCGGGGCACTGGCCGGGGCGCGCGCGCCGGGCGGGGGGGTGCTCCTCCGCTTCCCTCGGCCTGGCTCACAAAAGGAATCGCGACCAGGGTTTTTGCCTGTGGCGCTCCTGGGGCCCAAAGAAGGAATCGCGACCTGGGTTTTTGCCTGTGGCGCTTTTTTTTTGCCTTGCGCGTCGGGCCTCCGGGTCTTGCCGAGAGCGCGCGCGTGTAGAGGAAGTGCTCCCCTGCTCTCCTCCGCGTCAGTGGCGCTCCTGAAGCCCAAAGAAGGAATCGTGACCTGGGTTTTTGCCTGTGGCGTTCTGGGGCCCAAAGAAGGAATCGTGACCTGGGTTTTTGGCCTGTGGCGTTTTACTTTCGCCTGCGCGCTCGGGCCGGGCGGACGGAGGTGCCATGCGGACGCAGCCACTGGAGCCTTCGGTGGAGCTGCATATGGGGCCACGACCCGTGTGAGGGGTGTGAGGAGATATGGTCGGGCATGCGGTGAAAGTGCTGACGATGACGGGAGGGGGGAGGAGGAGGAGGAGGAGGAGGAGGAGGAGGAGGAGGAGACGCGGGGGACTGAACGCTGGAGGCCGATGCGAAGTACTAAAGATGAGGCGGTGTATTAGGAGAGGGACGACGACAAAGAGGACGAGAAGGAAGAGAAGGAGGAGGAGCAAGAGGGGGGACGCAGGAGGAGGAGGCAGAGGAGAAGGAGGCACAGAACGAGGACGAAGAGGAGGACGAGAACTCTCACGGGCGGGGCGGGACGGGGCAGACCCTAGCAGGCGGGTCGGGCGGGCGGACCCTAACGGGCGGCTGGGGACAGGCGGGCGGGACACTAAAGTCTGATACATATACGGCACGACGCATGAGAACCCTAACGGCCCGGGCGGGACGGGCGGACCCTATCGGGCGGGTCGGGCGGGCGGACCCTAACGGGCGGGTCGGGTCGGACCCTATCGGGCGGGTCGGGCGGGCGGACCCTAACGGCGGGTCGGTCGGGGCGGGACACTAAGGGATGCGCATACAGCGTGACACATGAGAACCCTAACGGACGGGACGGGCGGACCCTATCGGGCGGGTCGGGCGGGCGGACCCTAACGGGCGGGTCGGGTCGGGCGGGCGGGACACTAAAGTCGGATGCGTATACAGCGTGACACATGAGAACCCTAACGGCCGGAACGGGACGGGCGGACCCTATCGGGCGGGTCGGGCGGGCGGACCCTAACGGGCGGGTCGGGTCGGGCGGGCGGGACACTAAAGGCTGATGCGCATACAGCAAGACACATGAGAACCCTAACGGGCGGGAACGGACGGCGACCCTAGCGGGCGGGTCGGGCGGGCGGACCCAACGGCGGGTCGGTCGGGCGGGCGACACTAAAGCCTGATGCGCATACAGCAAGACACATGAACCCTAACGGGCGGGACGGGACGGGCGGAACCCTATCGGTCGGGTGGGGCGGGCGGACGCCTACGGCCCTACGGGCGTGTCGGGTCGTGCGGCGGGACACTAAAGAGGCTGATGCGCATACAGCAAAACACATGAAAACCCTAACGGCGGGGCGGGACGGGCGGGACGGCGACCCTATCGGGCGGGTCGGGCGGGCGGACCCTAACGGGCGGGTCGGGTCGGGCGGGCGGGACACTAAAGTCTGATGCGCATACAGCGTGACACATGAGAACCCTAACGGGCGGGACGGGACGGGCGGACCCTATCGGGCGGGTCGGGCGGGCGGACCCTAACGGGCGGGTCGGGTCGGGCGGGCGGGACACTAAAGTCGGATGCGCACAGCGTGACACATGAGAACCCTAACGGCCGGAACGGGACGGGCGGACCCTATCGGGCGGGTCGGGCGGGCGGACCCTAACGGGCGGGTCGGGTCGGGCGGGCGGGACACTAAAGGCTGATGCGCATACAGCGTGACACATGAGAACCCTAACGGGCGGGGCGGGACGGGCGGGACGGGCGGACCCTATCGGGCGGGTCGGGCGGGCGGACCCTAACGGGCGGGTCGGGTCGGGCGGGCGGGACACTAAAGTCTGATGCGCATACAGCGTGACACATGAGAACCCTAACGGGCGGGACGGGACGGGCGGACCCTATCGGGCGGGTCGGGCGGGCGGACCCTAACGGGCGGGTCGGGTCGGGCGGGCTCCTCCT